AACTTATTTCAGTTAGTTGTGAAGGCAACATTTCTAATTTACATAAAAGTATTATAAGTGTAAGTAAATATATTTAATTTAATTTTACTTCAGTTAACGAAAGGAACATTTAATAGTTATAGTTTTAGTTAACAATACCAGCACTGTTAAGGGTTATGCATAGTGTGAAAAGCCTACAACTGTCACAGTTTAAAGGCTTAATTTTTCTTTGTGGCGTATATGTTTAGGTTTGTGATAACCGATTCCAGAACTTTAGCTGAACTTCATTTCGACTGCAAACCACTGGAGGGAACACTTTGATAATTCATTAGTGTGAAAATTGTTCTCTTGATACCGCTCACACTGCGGTTAAATCTCAGAAGATAATAGCCGCTCGGAAATATTAGAAAACGTAGGAATATTGCACCGGCTAAATCAAAGAGACACTGAGAAGAGCAGCTGTGGACTTGAGAAGGCTGAAGAGACGTTTCTTGAAAAATTAATCATGTGTGCATCAGCTTTCTATTAGTGGAATATGCATCTACCATCCCAAAGGGTATTCTCAACCGCTTTTTAATGGACAGTCTTAATTTAAAGAGGGAGAGAAAGAGATTACTCTAATCCATTCAAACACTTCACTTGCTCACAGTTGACCTTTTAGCCTTTTAGTATCTCCAACTGACCCCTATCATCCTGTAATCTTTGTTCAAACAGTCCGTCAAAGGGTCGGTCATCCTCTTGAGTGACAGAATCTATTCTTTTAAGGAGAAGAAATATGTTTTGCATAATTGTCTATGTGGGTAATGAGATAAGACTAAAGACCAGGAAGTAATCAGTTTACAGACTAACGATTGGAGTGTAAGTGGATCTTGTGAGGGAACTGCATCAGGCTTCGTGTCTCCTAGTCCGATTCTGTTTGCACAATACTGGTGTCTTCCCTCTGACAGATGCATTAAACCATAGTATGTCCATTTGTTTAACATGGCCTGGGGCTCCGGTTTTATGAATCAAACCACAAGAGATGCCTGAGCAAAATGGCTCATTATAATTTTGCCTAATTGCTGCCACCAGCATTAGGAGATGTTTTGCTTATGCTATATCTTCTTTAAACACACACACACACACACACACACACACACACACACACACACACACAGTCTGGTCAGTTATCCTTGTGGGGACTTTCCATAGGCATAATGGTTTTTATACTGTACAGACCGTATATTCTATTGCCCTACCCCTAAACCTACCCCTCACAGGAAACTTTCTGCATTTTTAGATTTTCAAAAAACTTCATTCTGTATGATTTATAAGCTTTTGTACCCGTGGGGACCACAATTTAGGTCCCCACCATGGCACAAGTCCCCATGAGTCTGTGTGTAGTCTAGTTTAAGTCCCCACCAAGATATATAAACCAGTACACACACACACACACACACACACACACACACTTTGCTGGATGTAATGGACATGATTTGAAAGCCTCTATTTATCTATATAATATTATACTATGTTTGCACTGTACATGCTCTTATCATATCAGTATGTAAGAGTAGACCATAGAGCATTTCTCCAGGGAATTAATGGCACAGAATTGACCTTGGTTATATGTACTGACACAGAGGTCATGAATCACCCTTGACCTCCATATGCCTCTCCTGTCAAAGGCCCCCCCCCCCCTTATCTTATATATTCCCAACTTATTGTGGGAATGATATTTTCTCATTATGCAAATGCTGGGGGAAATTGGGCCCTATGGATATTGGCATTACTTTAGCATAATATGCATGGAAAATCTTTTAAACCAATAAAGCTTGCCACCCAAATAATTAATTTATGTAGCGTGCGACTCGAACATTTTACTGAATTTTGATTAGCATCTTAAAGGGAAACATTATAAATCAGAAGAGAAACGTTCAGTAGTTTAATTGACAGAAATGATAATAGCTCTGGCATGGTAACCTTATTGTAATAACATTTGAACTAAGACCATAATAAATGGCCCATCATTTGCACGTTATGGTCAATGTTAATATTAATTGTATAAAACAAACTATGGTAGGCCTATTTATTATGAATTAGGTTATTGTCTCCTGAACACATTTTAAAACTATAAACTAGCTGTAGTTAATAAAAATTAGGTTCTGTAGATTTCCTCACTTTCCTTATTTCATATAAACGTAGCCTACATTTTCAAATAGGCTACGACAGCTACTAACGTTACAGCTGTATGCTACTATAGTAAAATCATGGTAAATTAGAGCAAGCGTTGAGAGCAGCTTTTTGTGGCTCAGAAGGGAACCGCTATGACGTTAATGCCACTCCGTTATGATGCTGTTATGAGAGGATGCGGTTTCCGTTGTCACGGATTAACTACAAATCCGCGAGCAAACCGCCAGCTTCTGTGAAGGAAACCCTGCGCGCGACGCGCTTTGCTAGCTGATTCCAGCTGTGGTTGCCATGGAAACGGAACTTCTCCCAATCCTCAGTTCTTACCTTGTCCATCAGTGGAAAGGGTAGGGAATGACACTTGAATGTTGGAAAAAGAGAGGTGAATGGAGCCAACAAATCAGTCATGACGTTGTAGTGTTAGTCAGTGAGAAAGAAAATGACTTTATAATATTGTTTTCGAATATTTTTTATTTTATTTTTTTTAGTCGACTCTTTTGAATGAATCTGTTTGCGGTTCACAAAATCAGTCGGAACTTCACTCGTTCGTTTTTCCTAATTCACCGAGCCGAACTACTCGAACGAACCGATTCGTCAGTAGGACTTTTCGAATAATACGCATGCGCAATGGCTAGGTCATGGCCTGGGTTAGCGAGATTTTCATCGACGGAAACTTGTTTGAATTGCATCAATTTTCACTGAGGTAACGTATCGTTCATACTAAAACACGGTTCTAGAAAGTAATGTTATAGTTTAACGGGAGTTTAAGTTTATGTCGACGATGTTGCAACCTTTGACGTAACCTGAGGTGAGGCGATGGGTTGGCTAACTGTTTTATTAGATTCTGTTTTAGTTTGTTGTTTTGGCTGTGCTTTGAAATAACTGATGTTTCAAGGTGTATTCGTTTTTATTTTAACAGATGGTTTATACAGCAGAGCTCATGACCCAGTATTACCACCTACAGGTCAGTGCCATTAGATCATGTTTTGCTAATCGTGCATAACGGAGCTGTGTAGTTTATGCAGAAGATAAGGATGTAACGTTACAAGTTTTTTTTCCACATGGTGAGTTATCTTTAGGCCCAAGACTATCACCAAAGCTGAATAAATGCTGCGTGTTTTGTCGCCATCCAGTGACCAGAACCAGTAACTGCAGCTAGAGGTTTTAAAATTGAAAATGCAAATAGTTTTAAGCAGCTTATGTTTGTTAAATGGGCCTACATTTCTTCCCTAATTGAAATGTCACCCTTGACATCAACCAAAATAGTTTGTGTCACCACGTTGAGTAGTTGTACACTCGTTTTCATTTATAGGCTGCGCTGTACATAAGAGAAATGTTTTGTTGTGTGAAGTTTTAAATTCTGCTGTAAGAGTGATTTGGCATGAAACAAAAATAAGTGTGCTTGTTCCCGCCCGGTTTCGAACCGAGGACCTTTCGCGTGTTAGGCGAACGTGATATCCACTACACTACGGGAACTGAGCTGCGCGTGTTCAGGATGTGACGCACATGATTCGTAAATTGTGAATGAAAGATTATGTGTTTGACATGTCCTTGCAGAAACCACTATGTTTATGTTATTATTATAGCTATACGTGTGACGTATGGTCTAATGGTAGGCCTAAGTTATATCGTTTTTTTTAAGCAGATCAAAAGTGAAAATTTAAAGCTGTTTAGATGTCATTGTGTTTTGCAAGCTATCTGAGCATGACTTGAATGATGGTTTGCTATTTCACACATTTCTGAGTGATCTGAAAAAGCCTTTACCACATCTGTGTACACACGACAAGCAACCACCATTATTTGAGTATGTGGCAATACCCCACCTGTGTAATATGTCAAGATTCTGTACAGTTTTGTTATTGAAAATGGAAATGTCATTCTAGAAACTCTTATGGCAAAACAGGAAAATAACTGAAAGTCAGGAGCTGGTTGCATAAACAGTTTTTTTCTTCAATACTGGTCATAACTTTTTTAATTCACATAACTTTAACTGTTAATGTAAACATACAGTACAGTTTCAAAAAGAAAGATTGGTCTAATCTGAATCAAAAAAATTGGCTAGTTGGTGAAACTGGTTCTTAAGACAGTCTACATAGTTGCTATGTTTTTGCAACTGGCCCCAGGACTTTATTGCAGTTCAGTAGGATTCACTAAAGACATTAAAGTAGAACACAGTAAATAATAGGACGATCAAGTACAGAAAAACATGAAGTGCAATGTCAGATGTGTAACAACTGCAGAAAATGAACATGTGAAGTGCATTTGGTAGGGATGCACGATATATCGGCCACCATATCGGTATCGGCCAAAATTTTCATATCGGTGCATCCCTAGCATTTGGGCATGTTCATTATTCATAATGTATGTTGTCAGTAGTATTCTTGATTTTGATGCTTGAAAATGTGAGGTACAGTTGTGTGTCCTTTAGGATTGTAATATCAATTGATCTGAATGATTGCATCCAAAATATTTTTTAGATGCAAGCTCAACTCCGCAGATTAATAATTGCCAGTGCCGCATGCAAGAAAAAATATTCAGCGGGCTGCCCTCGCACTGACTGCCCACGCGCTTAGCTGAGGGAAGGGGAGAGAAGTAAAAGTTGATCATTTTCATAAATTCATAACGATGGTCAAATCTCAATTAAACAAGATAAAACGTTTAATGAAACCGTTTTACAATAGTCATTTACCCGAACAGTGATTAATGCGTCTTCATTTAAAACACAAAAGACCGGGCGCCTTGGACGCTCGAGACTGCTTCATTATAATTAATGTCTCCGGTTCCTCGTGCACCCGGAGGTCGCGAACAGCTCCGTCCCGCGCCCACTGATCTCTGAAGATCTGACACGAGAGGGATCTCGCTGGCTATTGCAATCTGACAAGATCTGTAATACTTGGGTGATGAATCGTTCCAAACTTTTTTGACGATGCTGGCAGCTCGGGGGTGTGCGCATGTGCGAAGGTGTCCAAACTGACAATGCTGGAGAGATAGTGCGTCTGGGATTGAGAATCACAGAGAAAAAGGACAGAGGAAAAAAGAAAAAGGAGGAAAAGATTCGAGAAAAAATCCGACAAACCCACGCCGAGAGACGGGCATCATGAGGTCCAAAGGCAGGGCAAGGAAACTGACCACTGGTAGGTGCAACATCTCCTTTTTAGCCCTTTTCAACTGCCATCTTGTCCATGTGTATGATGCATAGAAACATTTTAGTCACTAAACAGTTACAGTCAGCAGAGCCCAGCGGTTTCAGTCGCTTGTAAGAGTTGAAGACAAGCTAAACGCGAACCGCGGCGCGCGGTCGGACATCGCTTCGAAACTGGCATAAAAGTTGAGCGTGCCGTGCAAACTTTTTAACCATCGCACGCTGTAATCGAGTTCTCTTCTATTCAAGCCCCGAGCGCCCCGGCGTTCGATAAAACAACACCGTTCGTGCATGTTTCTACGGCTCCGGTCACATCAATTTGCAGCCGCGACTTTGAAAAGACAGCTTCGCCTATAGACGGCAACAGAAAGCAGCTGCGGAGGCACGCTTTTAAATGCAAACAGGTATCTTGCAGCTGATCTTTCGGCAGGCAGTCCAATGAAATGCATATATGCTAGATTAATAGGACTGTGGTTAAAAAGTGCTTTGAAGTATGTTCAAATGTGGACATTAATATCCTACCCTTTTTTCTATGTAGGCGAATTGTCGATTCTGCTTGTGCAACGAGTGATCAAATCCCGTTATGAATTTTTGTTCCGGTATGAACAGCTCGGAGAAATGTTTTTGTTTGTTATGGCCCTCTAAACGGTCGACTGTAATCTTAGCTTTTGATTACGGGTTGCCTTAGGCGCTTGTTTGAGTTGACGTTCAATGCATGTGTTCAATGCCACGCCACAACACAAGCTCAAACACCGAAACTGAACATCAAGTAGTTAGTGGGAAGTTGTTCCCCTCCTCGTTGGATTTATTCGGAACGAATGCATTTCGCTCAGGTCTGTGAATAATTCGGCCCCCCTCGTGCGCGATTTGGCCAGCGGTGCCGGACATTTCACCTGCAGGTCCAACAGTCTTAAATTGTCTATAATGTTTTAACACGGCGTGCCAAGTGTCCAATATCCCTCAGCATGATGTTGCAGGTTTACTATGAATGGGGTAAAATTACACCTCATGAACGGGAATAATAACCTTGACCTGCCAGAAATCAGACTGTGCTGTCAGGTGAAAGCCTACCAATGACTTACTGACGGATCTTGACAGTTTTAATTCCACTGTTTATTACGTAGCGGTGTACACTTTAAAGTCTGCCAAATTTACCTTGTCTGAATGTCTTGATGAAAATGGGTTCATTGCGTATTGTAGGTAATATACCTGTTCATGGATAAGATTAGAACTTTATTGTCATTGTGCAGAGTACAGAAGCAGTGAAATATAGCGTCCAAGTGCAAATAAACAAATTACGCTTGCAACTGAGGTAGAAATATCAGTCAGGTGCAAGGTAATATACTGTACATATGTACTTTCAAACAATATTTACGTGTACATTCATTTATGTAAAAGATGCACACAAGGGGCAATATATAAAGTATCAATATGTATGTAGCCTGTATTATAGGGTGTACAGCAATGATAAATTGCAAAGTGGCTATTAATATTGTATAGCTTCTTATTTATAGTTGAATAGAAGAATGATTTCTATTCAAGTACAGGCAACTGTAAAGTTCTAATTAAAGAATAAAACTGTTAAACCTTGAAGATTAAAACCTTTTAGTAATATCTTCAGTCGGATGTAGTTTTCTAAGTGCAGCCGTTATTTACCGTCATATAGGTGTCTGTGAAATTACAGACTTCTAGATAAATTCAGAAGCATGTCCCCCACGCTCATTGAGGCCTAACTATCTGATTTCTCTTTTGATGATAACTGCATTTTATAAGCTGCACATGTTCAGCAAGACTTTTGATTGTCCCTTTGTCCCATTTGGCGTCTTCGACAGCTCCATCAGTTTCATGCCACGGCTTTTGTTTTGACTTTGATGTGACTCACTTCACCGTGAAAGTGTCCAAACAACGGAAAATCAACTCGACGCTGAGAAAGGGAAAAAGAGACGAGGCTCCAAATTTAACAATGTGACATTCCGCGTGAGTGAAGTGCGTGAGAATAAGCCCCGCGCGCGCGAGCATTCTCTCTTCTTCTCAGACACGGGCGCGCATTAGATTCTGCATTGTGCAATGGGCCGTGCTGCTGCGTCCCGCGTCCGCTGCCCCCTGGGCTCATTATAGAGCCCATTCAGAACGGGGTGAACGGATCGGGCCATTTAAAAAGGTGAGCGCGAACCGTATTAAATGCTCATTCGTTTGCCTGATGCTGAATCTGAGAGCTCGGTAGAAAAAATGTCCATATTTCATGGACAGTGAACCGTGTCTGGCCAAAACATTTTTCAGACTCACTGGGGACGGAAGAAAGCAAGAAAAAAGAATGTTTATGTTGTCTTCACTTCTCGGACTGTGAAAAAAGTGGAAATCTACAATGTTAACGTCTCAATTTTTTAACCTCTTGAGTAAATATTTACTTTTCTTCTCTCTCTCTTCCCTGGCATGATATACTACAAAGTTTTTAGTTGAGTTCCTGGGATTGTAATGCTTTCCCTTGGAGAATTTCCTGTGCCTCTTTTCAGCTTCCATGCATGCATGTCCACTCTGAAAAGATCAGTGAGTCTAAAACTGAAGACTTTTGTTTCAGAGACAAAGTCGAAGTGACCGATGAGTTAATTACGAGTAAAACAGTGGGCCGTGATGGGGTCAGTTCGAAACAAGGCTAGCGTTCCCAGGTTTCGAGTGTGTGCATCTGCATAAGATGGAGAGAGTTGCAGGCCACTGTGGGTTTTGATCATGATTGATCACATGTTCTCAAAGGATTGATTGATTAGCAAGAAGCTGCTGAGTTTAGCCGAAGGGTCTGCTTATGTCCTGGGAAATGATCCTCTTGTCTGTTTGTGCGAGATTTCATCTGAGTAAAAAAACAAGAGGAGATATGTTTATGATATATATGATTCTTTGAATCGTGCGTCAGAGTGTCCCATAGATGCCAAAGAAAGAAGCGATTTCCTTGTATATGTTAGGAGAGGAAGGAGTGGATGTAGGTGACAATAACACAGTTACCCTCATCCATCAACACTTATAATACCACTACTTTCTCTCCTTCTCTCTCTTTCGTTCTTCCTGGCTCTTTCCCTCCCTAATGATTCAACGAGTGTCTGCGTCTGCCGAGAGTGAATTGAAATGGCCGGGTCAACGGTTTATTTATCTTGTGCTCTGATTGGTCAGGGGTCAAGTCTTATGGATGTTTATTTGGAGATTTGATTGGTGTGACTGATGGCTATGTCGTTTGTGTTCCACAGGGAATTATGGGGGTTGTTGTTCAGTACGTCCAGTCACATTTTATCCCCGTGCGACAGGTCCTGAATCAGTCTAAGAAAAGCTCTGCCTTGACTGAAGTCAGCAGGAACCATGAACTGAGTGCAGGCATCAGGCCAGTCCAGTAATAAGTCAATGTCAAGCCAACACCCCCCAAACCATCAGATGTCACTGTTTGACTTGTCTTGACTCATCTTTACTTGGAGAGGAAGCATTATTCAAGTTTGTTTAGCTCCGTTCACTAGTTTATATGAGACTTTCACTTATATGTCTAAAAAGTATTCTCATTGAAATTTGAATCTAAATGTAAATTTTAGTGAAAATGTAGCACGAGTTAAAAGAGTCAACCTGTAGATTTCAATTCAAGTTAATTAGCTTTATTTGTATATAAAATGTTTTCTCTCCAAGTATTTTAACACTAGATTTCTATATTTTCTAACCTCAGTCTAAAGAACCAACATTGCTGCTTTACATCAGAATAATCATATTTATGAGACGAGTGCACATGAATTAAGTTTAATTGTGAATGTTGACTGTACAACCTAATGTCTATGCATGCTGTGTACTTTTTTGAGAACAGCAGTTCAAGTTAAAGAATGCAAGGTTTGTGAGGAGACGTGGATGTGTGAGAAAACTACATCTCCCATCATTCTCTGTGGCTGCAAGTCAATGCATAGCGAATACATAAGTAAAACATTTTATATACCTAAAGTGCAATGCTTTTTATTTTGCATTAGGGCTAAAAGTGTCCTGCTTTTCTGAATAAATATGAAATTTTCCAACACAACTGACTGGGTTAAAAGAACACTTGCTTGTCTTTACCATTGCTTTTCAACCTGGTCAAGAATTAATATTGTATTTTCAGGTTTTGATGTTTCACACTGTATATTTGTAAACCCTGGGTTACCATCCTTTTTGCATATTTACGGTTTAAGTGTCATTGATTAGACAAGCACCAAACCAACTCTTGTCTCGCACTTGTGCATCAGTTGAGCTTTTTTATTATTTACCATCCAGTTAGTCTTATATAGCCTTTTTCTTTTTTCACTCCAAGTAACTCATTCTGATTGTCAATTTGATTTCCCTCAAATGCTGACAAGAATAAAACACATGAAAGTTTTGACCATACAGTGCTCATGAATGTGTAATGAGACAAGTGCCACTAAGATTATGATTGGCTGTTTGTTACTGTATAAACCAATGAACAGCAGTTCTAGACCTGCAGAGCAGGTTTTCGTAAACCCAGGGTCGAAAGTTCAAGTGTTTACATGCAAACTGACAAAAGTGAAACATTACTTTATTTGGGGTGAAATGCAGAGTTTCAAAAGACAAGTGAACCTAGGTTAAATGCAGTGTGAAAAAAAGCCCAAATTTGAGGTCCGTAGCACAACCCTAAGTATGAGCGTATAGCAAGTGTTACAATAAGAAAAGGCTTTACAGATTTACATTTTAACTTAATGGTATAGAGCACAATGTTCATCTCCTCCCTTCTCATTTGAGCTGAAGGTCACCCCACAGAACCAGCGGAAGGTCATTGTGAAGTTTACGTCCTTAAAGCGCTATAGATTAAGTGTAGATCTGTCTCAACCAGCATGAACAAGTTCCTATAATGTGGTTTTCTGCAGGAAGAAGCAGGTCGGTCATTAGCAGATTCAGTCAGTGGTGCCAGGCGGTCCTCAAGGGTGTGTTCTCTGTGAGTTAAATGTTTGCACAGAATTAATATGTGTTTGTGCGTGTAGG